TTTACGTAGCGGATGCCCTTCCAGCCGCAACCCAACACTGGGAAACATCCATACACTCCCAATCACACAGATACACTAAGGCCACTTTAGCTTACTCAATTCACCTATACCACATGTCTTTGGACTGTGGGGGAAAACGGAGCACCCAGAGGAAACCCATGGCAACACGGGGAGAACATGCAAACTCTACACAAAAATGCTAACTGACCCAACCAGGGCTCGAACCAGTGACCTTCTTGCTGTGAGGCTTTCGTGTTACCTACTGTGCCACCGTAATCCCCCCATTTTTTATTTTAATTTATTTAATATTAGGAATTTTAATTTAGGGAATTTTTTTTATCTTTTAATTTGTTTCATATAATTGGTCAAGAATAGTTTCAAATTATGAAGTGTGTATTAACATTAACACTATTTTTCATATTTATATCTGTTCTTGACTCACTTTATATTGTACTGTTAACTACTGTAAACTAACATTAACATAGAAAATATTGCAGTGCACTTATTGTGTAGCTGCATCTATTTATTTTGTACTTGTATTTTAAGATACAACTATAGTGTGGTATTTCAGCTATAATCAATTTCTGTGAATATAACTCCTTAATATAACCTTAACCCTGAAACCTACCCATAACTCTAAACTTGCCTCTAACCTTCACTATAATGTCACCTAAATACAGTCCAATACTGTACAAACATAAGCACATTATATCAATAGTTAAATACACCTAATATAAGCTAGGACATTTATTTACTGACTACATTTTGTTGTTGTTGTTGTTCTTCTTCTTCTTCTTATGACCTTTAACATCATATTGTCCACACATAAAGCAAGTTATCCGGAGTTGCCCTTTATTTTGTATTTGTTATATGTTGTTAAGCCATTAGTCTCAGCTTCTCCGTCAGATGTTTAGCTTAATAAAAACTGGCACATTTCAGCTATGCAGGCAGCACCAGGAAATCAGTATGATGCCAACGCAGAGCCTTACAGGAAGTTTGAACCTCACACAGACCTACTGTAGCTTGCTAATAATAAGGAGAGGAAGAGGCCTGGCGGATGTGAGAGGAGGAGAGAAAGAAAGAGAGCTGAGAGTGAGAGAAGAGGCGGTGAATGATATTAGAGTTTGGAGGAGGAAGTGTGTGGAAAGGTTATTGAGAAAATATGACTTCATATCTCTTTGCTTATGCTCTGAAGCACAATCAAATTGACTTGAGCACTTCATTTGATCACATTGGAATATGTGTATGGATTAAAGAAAGATGTATCCGGAATGTTTTGTGTTGATATTTCTACATCACTAACCCTTTACATTTGCCATGGTAAAATACATTTTTTTTTTTTAACAGATGATTTGATTGACAGTGTGTATTTACAAAGGGGATGTATTGCTTAGCCAAATTTGCCTGCTTTACTAAATTTAACACAGTTTCACACATTTATTGACAGTTTTCACACATACACACAATCTGGCGTGAGACTGAGCACACCCACCTCTCCTGCACTCATTGGATAAGGCTTTTAAATGAGTTTTTCTATATGGATGAATTGGAAACATAAACTCAAGTCTGAATTATTGTGCCATAGAAGGAAGAGCTTAAATTTACGGGAGAACCTTTTTGTAAGAGCTACAATTCATCCTGCAGTGGCATCACATTATAGAGATTGATTTATTTTCCTTTTTTGTTCTTATTGTACTTTTTAAAACATATTTATTTTATGATTATTGCTCTATTGAAGTTTTATCAAATTAGCAAATGCCACAGGATATGATAATATTTCACTAAAGAAGTAAAAGAAAAATTATCGGCCACTTTATTAGGTACACCTTACTTGTACAGAGTTAGACCCCCTTTTGCCTTCAGAACTGCCTTAATCCTCTGACATAGATTCAACAAGGTATTGAGAATATTCTACTGAGATTTTGGTCCATATTGACATAATAGCATCATTGCTGCAGATTTGTCGGTTGCACATCCATGATGTGAATCTCCCGTTTCACCACATCCCAAAGGTGCTCTATTGGATTGAGATCTCTTGACTGTGGAGGCAATTTGAGTACAGTGAACTCATTGCCATGTTCAAGAAACCTTAATGACATGGTGTGTTATCTTGCTAGAAGTAGCCATTGGAAGATGGTGTACTGTGGTCATAAAGGGATGGACATGGTCAGCTAAAATACTAAGGTAGGCTGTGGTGGTGACATAATGATCAGTTGATCCTGATAGTCCCAAAGTGTGCCAAGGAAATATCCCCCGCACCATTATACCACCACCACCAGCCTGAACCGTTGATACAAGGCAGGATGGTTCCATGCTTTCCATGCCAAATTCTCACCCTACCATCTAAATGTCACAGCAGAAATCGAGACTCATCAGACCAGGCACGTTTCTCCAATCTTCTATCGTCCAATTTTTTGTAAGCCTGTGCAAATTGTAGCCTCAGTTTCTTGTTCTTCGCTGATAGGAGTGGCACCCGGTGTGGTTTTCTGCTGATGTAGCCCATCTGGCTCAAGGTTGGATGTTTTGTGCGTTCAGAGATGCTCTTCTGCATATCTCGGTTGTAACGAGTGGGTATTTAAGTTACTGTTGCCTTTCTATCTAGCTCAAACCAGTCTGGCCATTCTCCTCTGACCTCTGGCATCAACAAGGCATTTGCTACCACAGAACTGCCACGCACTGGATATTTTCTCTTTTTCAGACCATTCTCTGTAAATCCTAGAGATGGTTGTGTGTAAATCAGTTTCTAAAATACTCGGACCAGCCTGTCTGACACCAACAACCATGCCACATTCAAATCACCTTTAAATCACCTTTCTTCCCCATTCTGATGCTCGGTTTGAACTGCAGAAGATCGTCTTGACCATGTCTATATGCCTAAATGCATTGAGTTGCTGCCAAGTGATTGTCTGATTAGAAATTTGCTTTAATGAGCAGTTGGACAGGTGTACCAAAAGTGTCGGTGTAATAAAGTGGCCGGTGAGTGTATGTTCCATTGCATGCAACATACTGTACATCTTTGTTTACTATACCCATTTTCCTACTGTATAGTTAATTTCCCTTTCAAATAGTTTGTAATAAATCTGACAGAATCCCTTATCGGTTGCCTGAGGTGCCCTAAATAAGTCTGACGTAGATTATATAGGCCCTCATAAAAACTTCATGTAGCTGTGTCTGAAATCCCTGTCTGCAAACTCAGCAAATATGAAAGAATAAATAGTGAGGAGACAAGCCGTGTATTCAGCCCGAGCCACACATCATGTGACTGCCTGAGCTCTCGTTATATCGCATCAGTTACAATCTCTTCACCTCTGAAGCTGCTGGATTTAATGCCTCAGTCCAAGGCTAGTAAAGTATTTTGAAACGTGAGTATGTAGCGAGATCAAGCAGAGGGTTTAAGCTGCTAAGGGTCAGAGATTGAACATAATGATGCAAAATAGGTGTTTCATAATTGTAGTCTGTGACTTTTAAGTCATTTAACTCCAAATCTTCATTGCCTTCATCTGATCTGTAATTTGGCACATGGGCAGATCGCTTTTCTGCTAATGAATTACATGAAAAGGAGTTGAGGGCAACTTGTACATTCATTTTCAAGTCCAGGCTTTACTTTCAAACCGTTTTTGCACATCATTATGATGTGATTTAGGAAACATACTGTAACTGCAGTGTTTGTTGTTACTATTTACAAGTCTTTACCTTTTATGTAGTTTTCTTATTTTAAACCTTGCAGTTTGTAATATTTGTGTTAACAACATTAGAAGTATGAAACATTGAATAAGGAAACTCAAGTCTTTGTATTATGTTTTTTTTTTTTTTTTTACCTTCTCCACTGATGTACCTTACCACATAATATTGAAATACAAGCCTTTTTCATGAGGTTACAATCTCTGTTTCGTCTTACAGTATATGGCTTCATTAGAATTGTTTGTCTATGTCATTGAATTGTGTCCTTGCACACAACTGTACATAGAGTGAATGGTATAAATACCCATTTCTCAGAGTATCTTTGCCCTCGCATGGCACAGGGATTCCAGACCTCCTCTAGATTTAAACTAAACCCTGCAGCTAAGCCATTGGTGAACCACAACGTAGCTAAGCATGCCTCAGCGCTGAAGCCTAACATAGATCGCTCCGGATTTACGTCAGCCAGTGGGGTATGATTCCTCATGAGAGGACTGCCTGCATGTGGCATCTACATCCCCCCACGAACATGCAATATTCATCTCTGACGTTGCCATTTGTGCTGCATCCAGTGTCAAGGAGTGCGTTGCTTGACGCCACAATGTTCAGTACATTTAAAGCATTGTTCATTTTGTAGCTCTCTCAGCAGTAGCAATATTTGCTTTCAATAATGTCAGCGAAACAGTCATTATATCAGTTGCTAGTTTTAATTGAGCTGTGTTCAAATCACACTCACTGCTTAAGTGGGGGAAGGAATTTTTTTTCCCTTGTGGTCATTCAATAGCAATGGAGGCTGGTTTCCACAAACAGCTATACTACTCAGCATTCCCTTTATTGCATTTTCTAGTGTTTGCTAGCAGATTTAATTGCCTGTAAATGGACACATCTACCATCTTTGCATTCTCATCAAAAACATCAACTTTGCATATCCATCCTTTGCAAGTTTTCTTCACAGTTAGCAATAGGTATTCGCTTAAAGAGAAAGACAAACACATCCCAAACATTCAAATCTACTCTATATGCATTCATCCCATACAACCACTTAAATCTGCAAACTGCTGAATGTGTTTTTCTGACATTGAACTGATAAAGTTCATCCTATTCCTATTAATAATGAATGAACAATCTCTTAAGTTACATAATTTTAAAGAGCACTCCAGAAATAGATTGAGTTATCATTTTGCTGAAGTATTTTAAGCTTAGTAGTTAAATGTGTTGTGGAACATGGGGGGGAAATCATTGAAATAGAGGATCAAAACATGTTTTAGCTCCTCTGCCTTTAATTCTTAATTTCAAATCTCCTATTATTCCTTTTTTTACAGAAAGAATGGCTCTGCCTAAACTGCCAGACCCAAAGGGCTCTTTCCGGGCAACTTGGGGATATGCCACCTCCACCTTCTCCATCCAAGCTACCTGCCAAACACGAACCCACCCCTCCCTCCTCCCCAGCCTGTGCTACATCATCCACCCCTTCCTCTCCTGCACCCACTGCCATCCCTGCCAAAGGGCTTACACGGATGCCCAGCATAACTCAGGCCCCAGCTGACAAGTCTGAGCCAGTCTCAGCCAAAACCGATGCTAAAGAGGTCAAAAATACAGATGCAGAACAAGGGGTTACAGCAGAGCCTGTACCGAGGAGTACACAGGTAGTACCAGAGGAGAGCAAAGAACAAGCACTTGGCACCTTGACAGAAAACACTGAAGGCGTAACATCTCTACCTGAGCATACAGTTAATGAAGATGCCCCCCCTTTACATAGCGATTCAGACAAGAGAGCAGATGTTAAAGGGCCAGATGTAGAACAGGCTGAAGCTCTACAACAATCTGAAGCTCCTGCAGAGGTACAGAAGGCAGAGGAAAGTGAGCCAGAACAATGCCAAGTTCAAGAGCCAGAATGCACTAACACAGTTGAATTGGAGCCTGGAAGCGGTCAGGAAGCACCTATATTTGATAATACTCAGACCCTACTGGTTAGTGACAATGAAGCTATTCAAGAAAAAGACATAGAGCCACAATCCACTGAGACATTAGAGGCAGCCACACAGATTGAAATTACAGAGTCTAGTGCAAGCTCTCCTATAAGCACTGAACCACACAGTCAGACTACAAATAGACAAGCTGGCGAGTTCACACAACCCTCACATGTAGATTTAGAAGATAGCAACCCTGTAAATGAAATCTGTATTGAGACAGCAACTGCTGATCCTGATCAGAGAAGCATAGGGGATGTGCCAGAGAGGAAACCTGAGGCCTCTGTGCAAATCGAAGCACCAGCAACTGGGCCTAGTGATGATCAACTATCCCATAATATTACTGACCAGGAACAACCAGAAAATAAAACAAATCAACTTAAACCTGTGGAAATTGAGGTTGTAGAGCAGGACATTATAGATAACAAATTACTGGAGCTATCACCCCAAAATAATTTAAATGTTTGTGACACAGAAGCGCTAATTGCACAAATGCCAGAGACAAAACTCCCATTGGATGAGTCAGAAGTCACTAATACAGGTTCTTGTCTTGTGGGAAATGACATTTCTGTTGATAAAAAAGATGAAAACTCTGAGAAAAATGTAAAAGAAGATAAGACAAATGTAGACAACAGGTCACAGTTAGATGAACCCACATCATCTCTAGTTACTGAGGTCAACTTCACAGAAGACATATTGGCAAATGGTGCAGCAAATGTTAGCAAACTTAGTCCAAATGAGCAATGCACTGAAGAGCTCTTTGAGGAAAAAGTGGATAACCCACTGGAAAAAGAACAGATGAGTGCAGGCAAACCAGAGCTGGGAAAATGCATGCCAGATCAAACAGGTGGAGATTTAGAGATCCTTGAGAACACAGACCAGAATGTCACTCTTAAGACTGAGTCTGACAACAAAAAAATAGATTTTAGCTCTGAAAGCACTTTCTATGAACAAGAGACAAATTTTAATAAAAACATAGAAGAGAGCAACAATGGGGATGCATGCCCTCCAGCCCTTCAAGAGGGTGCTCCTGAACCAGAGAAGGAAACTACAGAAACAGAGAAAGTTCATGTGAATAAAGCAGAATCAGATACTGATATTACAGAGAATGTGACAGAAAGAGTAGTCATTGAAGATGAACTATCATCTGGTAATAATAAAAATGTTACAGAGACAGTAGAACAATTATTGCCAAAAGAGAAGGAAATTCCAGACAGGGTGACAGAAAAGCCTCGAGAAGAGTCTGACGTACTAGGTAGCCTTTCTCATCAAAAAATAGGAGTCTCCTCGTCCAATGTTTTTTGTACAAAGGACGACATACCACCAGTAATTGAGATGCACCATACACAACAAGCTCAAACTCCAGCTATAACTGAGATAGCAGAAAAATTAATAGCAGAAGAGATTAATATTTGCCAGATTCCAGAATCTTTAATGGAAAATGGTTCAGAACAGTCTGTCATGCCAGGGGCTATTAATAGCCAAAATATTGAAGTTCCCTCATCCACTCCAGTCAGTAAGAATGAAGACATAAAAACACTAATTACATCTGAAGAGATTCAGTCAACACAACAATCCCAAACATTTGTAACTGACCTGGAAATCACCCCAAAATCTAAACTAGAATCTAGAGTTGAATGTGTACCCGATGTAGAATTAGAATCCCCACCCTCTACATTTAGCCAACAGGAAAGAAACAAATCAGAGCATGGGATGTTGGCATCTGAACAAGAGAAACAGGATGATGTTCTACAGCCATTGATAAAGACTAATAAAATTGAATCTGAAGAGGTAACTGTAATAGTAGCTGTAGAGGTATACAGTAGTCAATATTTGAAGTGGATAAAGAAAGTTTTTTTTTAATTATCTTAAGACAAGAGAGGATGTTGTTCAATAGAATTGGGACAACATTGATGAAAAGTTTTGATCCACTTCAATTGTTGGATACTATAGATTTATAGATGTAGAATATTTAGCTTTATTATCTTAATAGCTGCAATATTCAAAAGTTTTAGTCTAGTTCTTTTTCTTATTTATTTATTTCAAGGTATTTTATTGTGCCTTAAAATCATAATTTGTTGAATTTTAATTTGTTTCTCTTGTTTTGCAGAATAAAGAAGCTGCCGCCCCAGTAAAAGAGAATGAGCTACTGAAGGAGCCCAGCGAGAAAGATAAAGAAAGCAGCCCCACAAGTCCTTCAGACCTGGCCAAGCTTGAAAGCACTGTCCTTCCAATACTAGAGGCACAGAAATCACCTAAAGACGAATCAAAATCTGAAACTCCAAAGGTCAAAAGGCGACTGGAGGTTTTGCCAATGTCACCTGAACCCAGTTCAGAAGATGATCTACATGGAGAAACTAAAGAGCAAACAAATAATGCTCCAAAAAAGGAGCGTAAAAAACTTCTTATTCCAACTGATATCCAAGGAGATTCTTTTGAGGACAGTAGTGAAGGAGAACGTTCACCTGAACAAAGAGAAAAGACTATTGGAGATAAAGGAGAAATTGAGAGTCCTATGGATGAAGAGGATTTCATAAGGAAGCAGATCATCGAGATGAGTGCAGATGAGGATGCGTCACCCTCTGATGAGGAAAATCTTGTCAGACGGAAAATCAAAGATCAAGAAAAAAAACAAATGGATAAAAACGCAAGGAAAGATGACAAAGAGAAAAGTGAATCAGGCAAGACAAGACGTCTTCTCAAAAGCACGAGTATCAGTCCAGAAGATGAACCTGAGCGGAAAAGTATTATCTCTGTAACTAAGATTGAAGAATTAGGTAAAGGAGAGCAGCCTTCAGCAGACAGTGGAGCTGGCATACGACATTTCAAAACAATTGAGCTTAACAGTACAGCAACTGTACGCCAGACATCAGATGACGGTGAGCCAGAGAGCCTTACAGACTCTCCTGATGACAGATCAAGAGGCGAAGGCTCTTCCAGTTTGCATGCATCCAGTTTTACCCCTGGAACGTCTCCAACATCTTTGTCTTCTCTTGATGAAGACAGTGACAGCAGCAGCCCAAGTCATGTTCGATCCAGTGGTGAGGGCAAACAGCAGAGGAAAGCAAAACACCGGCAGCCAGGTCAGATGCTTCCTACCATTGAGGATTCATCAGAGGAAGAGGAGTTGCGAGAAGAAGAGGAGCTTCTGAGAGAACAGGAGAAGCAAAAGGGCTCAGGAAAAAAGTCAAAGAAAGACAAAGAAGAGATAAGGGCACAGAGAAGGAGAGAAAGGCCTAAAACTCCTCCAAGTAATCTCTCACCAATTGAGGATGCATCTCCCACAGAAGAGCTAAGACAGGAGGCAGAAATGGAGGAAATCCGCAGGTCTTCCTGCTCAGACCTCTCCCCAAGCATAGATTCAGAACCAGAGAGTTTTGAGATACTCCCCGAGAAAATTGTTGCTGTCCAAAAAGTTTATCAGCTACCAACATCAGTCTCGCTGTATTCTCCCACAGATGAGCAACATGCTGATAATCAGTCCAAAGAAAAGGGAAAGCAATCATTAAAAACGGCAGAAGAGGCATATGAAGAGATTATGCTTAAAGCCAAATCTCCTACTAATGAGGGAAAGGAATCTCCACCTGGTAAAGTATCTCTGTATGGGGGCATGCTAATAGAAGATTATGCCTATGAGTCTCTTGTTGATGATGCATCCTGTGAGCAGGAGCCAGAAAAGCTTAATGTGTCAGAGAAACCAAAAAAACCTCTAAGATCTCCTGATGAGGTTTATGAGGATATGATGCAAAGAAAAGAGATTATGATTAAGAAACATGAGCTAAAGCATGATAAGCCAATGGAAGATGTACCTAAACCTGAAACCGAGTTGGTCAATACTGTTTCAAGCAAAGAGACTGTTTCATCAAGCATAACAGGCCAGTCTGGGAAGGATGGAAGGCCTTTATTAGATGCAGAGGCAGCCTATGAAGAACTTATGAAAAAGAAAAAAGCTGTGCTGACTCCAGGAACAAGCCCAACTCAAGCAGGCCCTGATCTCAGTGGCATGGCACAAGGGACAACTGGAGTTCAAGTTGAGAAAACAGATACAACACCTGTACGGCGAATACTGCCCATACCTGATCTGAGAGTGACACAGTGCTCATCTGGTGAAGAGGAATCCGGTGAAGAAAACTTTGCAGATCAAACACAGGATTCTGACAAACCTACAGTGTCAACTACAAAGACTGCATCAGAATCAGCTGTGGATGAGGCTGCTCAGAAAACATCTGCCTCAGAGCCAGTTGCAGATGATTTGTCATTACAAAGAGAAGTAAAATCACCTGTAATATCAAGTGACTCAAAAGATGCCACAGAAAAAGATGTAGGAAATGAGCAGGCAGGTGTTGTTGACTTGTCCAAGTCATCAACCCCTAGTCAAATTGACACTTTTTCAGCATCAGCCCCTAGTGAAATTTCTGGACAATCTGCCCCTGTAGTTGTAAGTGTATCACCATTGTCCACCGTACCACAATATATAGTATCTTCTGTACCTTGTGTTGTATCAACTGCTCCACCGGTTCCCCCCAAACCTGTAATACTACGCAGAGCTGCATCTCTGGAAAAAGAAGAAATTCCAGTTCCTCCACCCCTTCCTCCCCCAACACTTCCTAAACCATCTGTGTATCCCAAAAAGACTCCACCACAAGTTCCCCCAAGAACTACTCCAGTTGGCATGCCAACCACAGGAGACAGTGTACCAATAAAACAGCCTCTAGGTCAAGGCTACAAGCCCCATGTTCCCCCTCCTGTACCACCAAAGCCGTCCTCTATCCCTGCAGGCCTAAACTTCAGTCACAAGCAAGGGGAAAGTTTTAAACCTCCCATAGCTCCCAAGCCCATGGCCGGTGCTCAGCCATCCTTAACAGCCCACACTCCCACAAGACCTACAATACTTACTACAAGCAGTGCAGACAACGTCCTTAACTTGAGTCCTTCTGCTGAGAGTAGGACAGGAACCACATCTCCCCTTAAGTCTCCTACATCACCCAGGTTTGGCAAAGTTTTGCGTGACACATATGTTGTTATTACTTTGCCATCTCAGCCCAGTTCACCTACAGAAGGTATCACAACCCAAGCATCAATAAGTCCTAGCCAAGAATCACATCAAAAACTGCCTCCTTCACCACCTCAACCAACTCAGCAGTCACAAACAACTAGAGTACCACTGGCATTCACACGGATAACTGAATCTATTGAAAGTCAAGAAATTTGTGGTCCAGAGAAAGTAGTTTCTAGCATGAGTCATGTCTATGAGGCTATTTCAGCCTCAACACAGCCTCAAACGGTTATTCCAAATGTTGGTGTTCAGGTAGTTACCACCGAAGTCCAAAGAACCACAGTCTCTGTTGTTCATGAAAGAACACCACCTCCACATCCCATGCCAAGAGCCACTGGCATTTCTGTTGTTCAAGAAACTACTAAACCTGAAGCAGTTCAAATACAGAATGGTCATGCCTATCATCCTGGTGAAGTAGTGGATCTCCGAACCCCAAAAATAGATGCAGTAACATCCATGAAAGGTATAGATCTGTCTTCCTCTGAATCAAGGCGACAGTCTCTTGCTGTTGATAGTGGTGGACGTCAACAAAGTGCTGTGCAGTCATCAGTAGTGAACCTAAGTACTGACACTTCTTCAGTTTCAGTGGTTACCGACAACATAACAATCCTCACGTGCACAGCCACTGTAGCTTACGGTAGTGATGCATCTCTGGCTACATCAGTGCCTCTCCAACTTACAACAGCGAAATCGTTTGAGCCTGTGTCTCAAATTATTTACAGACCTGTGGATTGTCAACCAGAGAAACCCATAAATCTCTCTACAACCATGGGTAAAACTCACTCTCTTCCTGTAACAATAGCTCCTACAATGGCAAACAATGGCATTAGTGCAGCTTTACCTCCTAACCTAGAAACAGGCTTATCAGGTGCAGTTGACCTTACCACAGTGAAACCTGCACAGACCATGGTTGCAATGAATGGGTCCACTGCAGCAGTGGTCACTGCTGTAATTGCAGAGGATGATGGAAAACCTGTTGATCTTACAGGTGGAAGAAGAGCAGTTTGCTGTGATGTAGTCTATAAGCTTCCTTTTGCAAGCAGCTGTGCTACTCAGCAGCCCTCAGCTCCGTTACCAGAGGATCGCTTTGGCTACAGAGATGATCATTATCAATATGATCGTTCTCCTTATGGTATGAGAGGTCTCGGTGGCATTAAACCCTCAATGTCTGACACAAATTTGGCAGAGGCTGGTCTTTTTCTATATAAAAGTAAGCATAGCTATGATTACAAGGATGCCACTGAAGGTGCTGTAGACCTGACATCTGGAAAAATGTCTGTCGGAGGTCAGTATGGCATTGAAGATCTTTCTTCTTGTTATCAGTTTGAGTTACCTTTACTTATTCCCAGCTGATTTTTCATATGCATGTTTTTGTTTTGTTTTTTGCATGCCATTTTCCTCCATTTTGGATGTTTTTGCATGTCATTGCATGCATTTCAAAATAAATTTTCTCATTTTCCATCCTTTGAATGCTGCATGGAAACCTGCATGCTTTTGCCTTTGCACTTTTGTATGTGCTGAACTGTAATCTAACAAAATGAACTTTCAACAGGTGAGGCTGTGGACTATTCAAGCAAAACTACAGGAGTATGCACTGGAATGACAGTTCCACAGTATACACAAGCCAGAATTACTTCAGTAGTTGGAACTAACTATGGGGTGTCTAGTGTCCTGAGATCTTCCAATGGTATTGTTTATTCTTCTGTAGCAGCACCAGTACCTTCTACCTATGCCATAACTACCCAGCCTGGATCTATTTTCAGCACATCCTATAATACTCTATCAGGCATGCATACAAGTGACACTATGCCTTCATTGTCAAATCTGCAAAATCAGCCTCTCACTAGATCCCATAGTTTTCTTTCAACTATTGCTTTAACCACAGCAGAAGGGCAAATTGACCTACCCTTAAATCTGGAGACTAGTGCTTCAAGGGCTGGCCTGTCCTCAACTCTCTCTGGTGAGGTTTCTACAGTCACCACAGTGACAGGACTAGATACATACACAAATGCTTCACTTGATGCAATTGCAGCATCTTTAGAAGCTCTGTCTTCACCCATGGTTCCAGGAGATGGACAGTACCAAATGGAGCGTGAGTTTCTTGAGCTTGAGAAAATAAAGCAGCAGCGCTTAGCTGAAGAGCTTGAGTGGGAGAGGCAGGAGATACAGCGTTTCCGTGAGCAGGAGCAACTTCTTGTGCAGAAGGAGCTGGAAGAACTTCAGGCCATGAAACAGCAAATATTGTGTCAGCAAGAAGAAGAGAGACAAGCCCACCTAATGATGCAAAAGGAAACTTATGCGCAGCAACAGGAACAGTTAGAGCAGATCCAAAGACTTCAGGAACAGCTGAGGCAACAGTTGGAGGAACAGAAGTTCAGGCAAATGTATCCAGGTGAAGTCTTGCCAGAGGCTCTTGTTGTCACAGGAGAAAGAAAGATGGACAGTGGCTGCCAGACTGATGAAGAGGATAATACCGAAAAGGCCTACACTGCAGGTAGAAAGAAGAAAACCACAAAGAAAAGTGTTGATAGCTGTGTACAGACAGATGATGAAGACCAGGATGAGTGGGAAGTTCCTGCTCGAGGCAGGCGCAGTAGACCACGTGGTGGTAAAAATGGCATGGCTGAGAGAGGTGCTGTTTCAGTTCAAGCCCTAACTGAGATATCTGTACAAACAGACTCTGGAACACTAAGGGGGCACTCTGTGCAGGTAGATGCCAGAGTAGATTATCCTGACTCTGACAGAACATCATCTCCAAAGAGACGCCCCATTCCACTTGATATTGGCCAATCCCCTCTCCTCAAAGCAGATGCATCCACTCTTCAGGTTGCTCCAGGTCCCCCAAAATCCCCAAAAGTACTGTACTCTCCAATTTCCCCTTGTGTATCCCCTAGTAAATCCCTTGAGTATTTGTCCTATGAGAAACCCCTTGGTGAAACAAGCCCACAGAGAATACGTTCTGTCACAGATTTATCCAAAGGTCCACCAACAAGTCCTAGGGCTCCCAAGGTCATACAGAGGTCAATGTCTGACCCCAAACCCATGAGTCCAACTGCAGAAGAGAGGGCAGCAGCAAATTTCCAGTATTCTGAGAGTTACTCTGTGAGTATACTTGATATAGTACATTTTAAATGTTGGAAAATTGCTTTTCGTGGATTAAATCTTTTTCAATCTCTTTCAACACTTTTAAATAGTTTGGTATTTATTTTTTGTATATATTCATACTGTTGTTTAGCTCTTATTGATTTTAAGTAATTGTAGTACTGCCATATTATTTTCTTGTTTTTTAATGTTGCTCTAGGCCTCAGTTGCATTGGCATACTCACTGTCTTTTATTCTTTTCTGTGCTTGTTGAATGCCCTATGAAGGCATTGCAGCAGCACCGTGTTTGTTTTTTATCCTCAATGCATGCCTGTCAGGAGTAAACAAAATCCTCAAGAGACTTATTTTTGGCCATGCAGTTTTATTTTTAATCAAAGTGGAGAGCTTGGGTGTTGGTTTGTCATTTTTAAAGGGCTTCTATGACTTCACAATTAAAGCTTTTAATGTACTACTTTTGTTCTTAATTGCTGATCAGTTGTTTTATTTGACATGCATAGTGTTTTGTAACACTGATGTTGCTCTTTTACTTGTCCTTTAAGGCAAAGGGATCTCCAAGTGGAACTCCATCTGGCACCCAAAAGAAAGTTAAGAGAACCCTCCCTAACCCACCTTCAGAGGAAGAAGCAGCAAATGCTGGTCAAGCAGCCTACAGCACTGGTTCAGCTCGTCGCCGTCTTTGCCGGAGCACTAACATGGCACGAGCAAAAATCCTACAGGACATAGACCGTGAGCTAGATCTGGTTGAAAGGGAGTCTTCCAAACTGCGTAAAAAGCAAGCTGAACTGGATGAGGAAGAAAAGGAGATTGATGCCAAGCTGCGATACCTGGAGATGGGCATTAACCGACGAAAGGATGCATTGCTCAAAGAAAGGGAGAAAAGGGAAAGGGCCTATCTGCAGAGTGTTGCAGAAGACCGTGACTACATGTCTGACAGTGAGGTGAGTAACATTCGTGAGACTAGAGGTGGAGAGGATATCGGTGGACATGGGCTTGAGAGACCACGAACTGCACCCCAGTCAGAACTTGATGAGTTTGTTCCTCCACAGACCAAGCATGACCAGTATGGAAAATATTCCCAGTACCAGTACTCTCAGTACCAGCAGTCCCTGTACCAGCCTCAGTCACCATACCAATCCCAGTCTATCTACTCTTCTGTTCCGTCTCTGACTGCCTCACAACAACAGAGCTACCACCAAATGCTCTTGCTCCAGCAGAAAGCCAGACAACAAGCTGCTCTCCTCTCTGAATTAGATTCTACAAAAATTGCATCTAGCTATGACACCTCATCTTACTTGGGAGGAAAATACAGCAACCACCTTGACTTGCATAGCTTAGAAGACCGTGCTGGCAGCATGGCAGTCAGTCCAATGTCCAATGTATCTGCTGACTCCTTCTATTCAGACCTAGATCAACATCAAACACCAAGAAGCTACATGCTTTTAGAAGATGCAGCAGAACTTGCCAAAAGCACTGGTAGCCTTTCATCCACCAGCTATGGCATTGCTGAAAGGGAACTGGCCAAAGCAGAGCGTCTTCTGAGACATGCTGCTGCAGATGTCAGTTCAGACTACCTGGGCAGCTCTTCCAGGCTCCATTCCTATGGTAAGGCCCAAGATGAAGAGGACCCAATGGAAGAGCCATTTGAACTGAAGCTTTTAAAACAGCAACTGAAACAGGAGTTCAGGAGAAGCACAGGGGGCACTGAAAGCTTAGAGCAGCTTGCTGGACTTTCACATCACTATACCCCCAGCACTGGGGTGTCTAGTGGAGGCTACAGGGCCTACCCTAAAACCGAGAAGTATAGTATTAGTAGACTGACCTTAGAGAAGCAGGCTGCCAAGCAACTCCCAACATCTATGCTTTACCAGAAACACAAAAACACCAGCAACATTGGCAAGTACTCCTCAATGCAGGATAGCAGGGGTCTAGAAACAGACTATAGTAGTTATCTTGGGTCCAGTAGCTCTTCTCCCAGGTCAAGCAGACTTATGCAGGATGAGATCACCTTTGGGTTACGGAAAAATATTGCCGAACAACAGAAATACCTGGGTTCCACACTTGGGGCCAATTTGGCAGGTTCACTCAATCTGGGTCAAAGCCTGAATCTGAGCCCAGGAATGAGGTCATCTTTAGGAGAAGACTCTTCTTATCCTAGTGGAAGCAGGTCTCGTCCTTCTTCTAGACCCTCATCCGTATATGGGCTTGACTTGTCCATTAAACGAGACCTCTCAAGTTCCTCTCTAAGGCTCAAAGCAGAAGGTGAAGCCTCTTCTGAGACCTCAGCATTCCAGACTCCCTCGGGCAGGTCAAAACCTACAAGCCTCCCTATTGTACAAAGTGGGCGTGGACGTATTCCTATCGTGGCACAGAATTCAGAGGAAGAGAGCCCACTGAGTCCAGTTGGTCAGCCAATGGGTATGGCACGGGCATCTGCAGGTCCACTCCCACCCATATCTGCAGACTCTCGTGATCAGTTTGGATCATGCATGTCTCTACAAGAATCTCAACAGCAACATCTCAGAGAAGATCCTTCAAGAGGACGTGGCTATGTGCTAATGGATGATCTGCAGGGCACCATGTCTGATAGTGAAGGTAATTTGTTTGTCCACAAACTGTCCTCTTGGAGAGATTCTACATACACAGTCTCAGTTTTTTACTTATCTGTGTTTCATCTTGCAAGTGCTTCTTCTAGTCTATATGAAGGCATTGGTTTTCTGAATACATTTGCTTTCTGTCTTGTCTGAGCTTGCTTATTCTTTGCTTAAAAATGGAAGCAATCACAATGTCACAGTTGTCTTCATAATCAAACTTCTACCGTATAGTATCATAGTTAATATGTTTGCATGGGATTTCTTCACAGGCTATCCTTCTGTTTCTTTGTGTATATGTCTAGTGCATGCTTTCATTTTCTCCGTGTGTTGTCTGAATGGGATTAAAAAAGAAAATTTGCACTTACACTAGTGGGACCTATTATAAATCTCTCTTGTCAGTAGCACAGAAATAGCCTTAAAAATTCTAGTTAAGGTGCTTGTAAAGAGTAGATCTGCATGTGTTTCTGATTAGTTATCTATTTAGTTATCTTAAAGTGCCTTCTAGCAAAGTCTCAGCATTATTCATCAAGTCGTAATGTTACTACACTGCTCTGTTTAAGGTCAGGCATTCATTCTTAAATTTATTAAATTAAGTTTCAGTTTCCTTCTGTAGAAATGTTTTTATTTCCTATTAATAGCATGTCATAGCCCATATAAAGGTCTATCTCTTAATGATTGATGATATTTTTCATGCATGTTGCTAGAATAGCGTGAGTAATTATTAACATGCCAGTTTGTGTTTGCATATTTGATGTTCAATTAATAAATAGAACAAGTGGTTTGCATGCCTTTTTCTGTCTGTTTTAAATAAACTCTTTCATTTTCCTGCACGTTTCATCTGCTTTCTTTTCATTCAAGAACTAATAAATGCCTTCAAATAGAAAGTGCTTTTTCTTAGCTTTGTTTACATTTTTTTTTTGGTGTGTTAATCTGTCATGAAAATATGACGGTAGATATTTTAAGATTGACAACATAGTTGCTTATATTATTGCATGCCCCTTCATGCAAAGTGCATGAAGTTCCATTAACTGCACTACATGTTACAAAATATGAATGTTGTAATTTTTAGGCAGTTTAGAGTTCAAGAATGACATCACCACTAAATCTGGAGCTCAAACCCAAAACATTTAACATGTATTTTTTGTTCATTTATGTTTAAAGTAACCCCATACATTTAACAGCATATGATGTGTTGTTCATCATATGTTCCATCTGGAAGTAAATGCATTTGCCTTGGTTGCAGCACTAAGTGAATCCCTGGTGGGTTTGAGCAGAGACGATCCAGGAAACTCACATGAGAATGTCACAAACGGTAGAGTATAACCACCTTAGACTCCTGCACGTCTCTCCCGTCTCCCCCACACCTCCGCTACCATGACCACCCACCTGCCAATCACCCATGAGCTGTTAGGCAACCAAATCGACCGCAAATTCATCTCCATAACAACATGTTGCAAGAACTATGATGAATTTGCACACTAATGTAATGCTGTGTTAGTGAATGCAGCTCTTGCATCTGTGATTAAATTGGAATTTCACACTCCTTTCTTTCTAAAAATAACCATCATTTGCTTATTTTAAGCTCCTACTATTTCAGCCTATTTGGTGGACAAATCATCATTCGTATAAAGCTAGTAATAGTTTTGCATATCAAGTCAATCTATTCTGAAGTACTGACTTCCTGATGAATCTGATTGCACTCATAAAGCTTGAAATATTACCACAAATACGTAGAACTCTTCGTTACAACAAAAGTAGCAGGAATAATAATACATCTTTCATATCATTTTACATCTCAATGTCAGGTCTGTAAATACTAAAATTGTCTGTTAAATGTTCATTCCTCTTGATGATGACATGAGGCCGATTATGCACTAATCCATAATGAAATACATCTGAAGTTGCCTTTGAGTCTTCTCAAGAAATGAATGATATATAACCTTTCTACATTGTCCAAAAAACTCTACACCAATGTAAAGTTGTATACCATGATATTTCCAATGCCTGTTTGTCATTAATCCTTTTTTATTTATAAAAAGAACTTTAGATGTTTGGAGATCTGTATAGTACCCTTGTAGTAAAGAATTCTGGCCCAGAGCACAGCGGGCATTCATCCGGCACTGGCTTACAATATGTGGGCCAAACATGGCCTGGGTTTGGCAAAGGTGGCACCATCTTTAAGGTGGCACATAAGCTTTGGGCCAGATGTAAAATATAGTATTTGGCCCCAATGTTAAAAATTGATATGTGGGCCTAAGTTTGGCCTGTCATGACCCAAGAAAAAAATTCTACCAATGTGGTCGATTTGAGAAAAAGCACGCCTATAGTGTGCCTAAAGGGTTTATCAATTTCATTGCAATCATGGCACACCAACCTACCTGGCCCAGTTATAAGTTATAATTAACTTGGGTGTGACTTGACCCAGATATAGTCCATGTTTGGCCCTTGTCTGGAAGCCAGACTTGGTCCAGTCATGCCCTGTAATTCACTGTGGCATGGGGGCCACGCAAAACTTGATTGTATGGGCCAAAGCTGGGCCAGAGAAATTTTGTATAAGATCAAATTGTTTTAGTTTTTTTTTTTTTTTTTTTTGTAAAAAAAAAATAAAGAATTGAGTCCTCAGGGTTTTTTAAGGTTTGCATGTGAGAATAACTGCTCCACTTTGTATAACCATTTCCTTTTCTGTCCCAGATGGCTCTGTATTGTTTGAATATAAGACATACGTACCTTAGCTGTTTCTAGTACCTGATATTACCAGAGGGCCCTTAGGGGTTTGTTTTCACAGACTGGCAAGCAAGACTTTAACGTTTTAATTTCCATCTGTTTTTCTGAAGCGTACCACCTGCGTCGAGAAGAAACCGACTGGTTTGATAAACCGAGAGACGGACGCGCTGAAAACGGACAAGGGATGGAGAGAAGACAGGTATTTGAAATAAAAATCAGCAAAATGCTATTGCAAAAGCATATTACAAAGATTGTAAAGAAATATTTGTCTGAATGTGCTTATGCATCTTTAGGGAAAGTTTCACTACCCGTTTCCTCATGCAAGAATAAAACTACTGAGGGATCCCAAAGATCGTAGTGTATCAGGTAAGACATGCAACTTGTCAAATACTCTATGCTACTTGGCATTCTGACACGCTCCAACAATGCAGACAGCTGCCCATGGTAAAAGAGGATCTGTTCGCCTACCAGGCAAGCATGGAGAAATGCCCGAGGCTTATGTCTATGCAAACATTAGTTTCGCCATGCTGAGATTGCATTGGCACAGTTTTATTTTAGGCCTACTACTAAACAACACATTATCCCTTCTCCAATTCCCCTTTAGCGTCCTCTTGTGGCGCTTCATTTTGCCAGATCATTGCACACGAAATGTCAACAGACACAAACCCGCTGAGCAAACAGCACATCAGCGGTCTTGCCCCCCTTCTTATGCTTTGGTATGTCACGTAGGTGGGGCTGATTCCCTTCTGTCTGTTGTGTCACTGTTCCTTTAAGCATTAGAACAGGGCAGACATTATGCAGCAATGTGGCAGATTGGCATCCCTCCAGTTTCATCAGTCATCAAAGCTCAAAATGGCGTGTAATGCACAAATTGGATTATTCTCGTAATTAGAAACTGATGAAGAAACAAGCGCCTTAAAAAGACAATGAATTAAGGCTATATCAAGTAAACTGCGCTGTGACTGGTGGATTTGTTGCACTGTAATTTAGGTAATTAGTCTGATGGAAGGGTATGTGTATCATAATTCTAAATTAGACAATGTATATTATTAAACTCATAGATAAGGTTAGTCAATTTTTAAGTAATTTTCGAATCGGCAGTGTGGGCCTGGAAAAGATTTGCAAATGCCAATATTTAAAGGGATAGCTCACTCAAAACTGAAAATTCGAGAGTCCCCCCCCAGTACTTGTTGCAAACTTTTTTGAGTTTCTTTCTTCTATTGAACACAAAATAATATATTTAGAAAAAAGCTGTAAATCTGTAACTATTGACTTTAATAGTATTTGTTTTTTCTTCTGTAGAAGTCAGGTTTTTAGGCTTTCTTTACAGCATTTTCTTTTCTTAAAAACTCAAAAAAGTTTGGGACCACCTGAGAATGAGTAAATATTGAATAAATCTTAGTAAACTATCCTTTTAAAGGCAACTGGAGTTTCTGTGTTGATTGTAGTGTCCGGTTATCAGATGTTTTGCTTCAGTGAATATTAATAATTTCCTCATTAATGCTTAGGAATCATATAGAAAAAATATTGGAGGAGCATGATCAGTTTTTGACAAGGCTACGTCATCATTGACAATCATTCTTTTATCCAGTCAGCTCAAGACAAAACCCCTATAAAAAGTCAAACACATCATACCTTCGTTTTCTTTTGACTTCAGCATCCCTCCACCACCCCAACTCCACACTATTAAACGCGATACCTACTTAAATCTGGGGGAGGGGGGAGCGTTCTGGTGCCAGGCTCAGACTCTATCTTTCTCAATCCTGATAAGGAGAATAACACAAGTTCTTTTCCATGCTCAGAGCCTTCTCCCCAAACAGCACACCTAACACGCATATTCTATTCAGTCAAATATCTGTGTGTGTGTGAACTCGTGAAAATTTATTGGTACAAAAATGTTAAGTACTTAAGCTGGTTAAAACATCAATTGTTGAAATCACTGATGGTTAGAGTAATTGAACCCTTTAATCCAAAATCTTTCAGTTATTGTGTTTGACAATTAAAGGAAATTTACAGATCAAACAAATATAGCAAATTGAACTAAATAATTCCACTTTTCATGCTTGTTCACCCTCTGTGCAGGTATTTGACCTCCTTATTTTAATACAATTTCTCCACAGGAAATGGACTGGGAATTAGAGTGGTTGGAGGGAAAGAGGTCCCGGGAAGCAATGGAGACATCGGTGCATATGTGGCCAAAGTATTACCTGGAGGAGCAGCAGAACAGACGGGGAAGATTGTGGAAGGTAGGCACCTCAATGAAAGGCGGTTACACTTTAAAAGACATGTTCCTGTGTGGGTTCACTGACTGGGTTAAGCTGAAGCGGTGTATCGATGCTCACTGTCTTTTAAGGCAGAGAGAGAATCGCATGAGTTAACGTTAAAGGGCACAAAGTGACGTGATATTTCAGGGCAGGAGACAGAAAAAAAACAAATGATGTTAATTTGCGTGATTCTTCACCTCCGGGCTTGCAGAATGACTCATTCTTGATGTGAGAGATAAAGATAGAGAAGGAGAAAATGAAGTTGAAGCTTCAGGTTCATGACTGTGTTTCCTCTGCAGTGTATACTGTCGGTGTAGGTGTTGCACAGATCAGTGTTAAATTTATATCGAAACTTTGACTGAGATGTCTCTAGGGTGTTCAGTTCAAAAGAGTTTGAGGTTTTACTGCTTTACCACGGTCTTCTTTACCATGCAGTTATGTAAATGTGCACTTTGCACAAGCCAGAATTGACCTCAATGTGACAGATTCACCCATTGATTGCTGACGGCTAGAGTTTCTCGTTGACTTGGAAGAATCTTTACAGACTTTTGAAATAAAACCAAGAGTAAAATCAGAATTTTTCGCACTATCTTGATGGACTATTTCAGGCATTTTGATGGAGCTGAATTTTACAAGCTCTATTGATCTTGGTCATGACGGAGACGTTAATGCTCTCTTTTTCTTCAGGGTGAGGGTGAGCACGAAGCATTATAAATTAGGTCTGCTTAGGCTCCGGGTTTTGTGCTGCTTTCTCTGGGTCCTAATTTACGAGGGGCCAGGATAGGTGGTGAGGGGGAAAGTGAAGCCAGAGGGAGTGGATCTGTCTGCGCGCAGGCTTATTTATGAGGCCATATACAACAGCTGGGCTTTGTGAGAGAACATTCTAAGCTTTGACTGGGACTGACACTTCACATCTGTCTTTCACCTCCTCCTCTCGCTCTCTCTATCAAATATCACTTTGTATTTAGACATTTGACTCCTTAACCCTATGCTTGTCTCTTCTCCTTTTATTGTGTTTCTTTGTGTCAATATTTAATTTAGTCTATTCTTAATTCTCTACTGTCTCATCTCACTTTTCTCCCTCTCATTGTGTATCATTTCTTTCAATCCTATATCTTAGTGCTGCACAATACTGAAAAAATCATGTTTTTTGGCAATATATATGCCGATATGAATAAAATTTCACCAGATGACTTGAATAGTTCTATATGGAAAGAATTTATTCATTTGGATTGATTGAGATGATTCTGTATTGAGTCAGCTATGCATTAAATATGATAAACAAATTATAAATAAAAATAAATACAATGATGTAAAGATAAAGCTTTATGGTTTTCTGGGGAATTCAATTCCTCTTTCAATTAAACTTATGTTTATTTCCTATAGCGCTTTTACAATGTAGATTGTGTCAAACAAAGAAGTTCTAGTAAATTTAGCGGTCAGTCCAGTTTTCAGAGTTGAAGTTCAGTTTAGTTCAGTTCAGTTTGGTTTTTCACTGCTGAATGTCCAAACACTGAAGAGCAAATCCATCGATGTGCAGCTCCACGATCGCAAACCAAACAAGCCAGTGGCAACAGTGGCGAGGAACAAATTCACCAATTGACGAAAGTGAAGGAAAAAAAAAAACTTCAAGAGAAACCAGGCTTAGTTGGGCACGACCATTTTCTCCTCTGACCAAATGAATGAACAGGAATGAACAGGATTCATGTACAGAAATTGATAAATCAATGTAAAATAGTCTTCGTGAGTATATTTTTCAGTAAAATTAACCTTAAATCAAACTTACAAGCAAGTTTATTTTTTAAATATGCCTGAATGCTTTAAACTCTTTTTTGTTTACATAGTCAAAGGCCCTAAACACACACAAAAAATAAGCTGTATTTTTATTATATTATATCGTTTATATTACAGTCAACTCTAATGCATAGTACAATGATAAACTTTCAATATCAGGTGTAAACTTTGCCACAAAACCCATGTATTCTTAATTATGGCTCCTGGTCAACTATAATCTCAACTCCACTTTTCATTACAGGTCCTGTGATGTGACAATTGTATACAGTTGAAGTCAGAATTATTACTAGATATTAGATATTTTTCAAGATACTTAAAGTGACATTTAAAGGCTTAACTATGTTAATTAGGTTAACTAGGCAGTTTAGGGTAATTAGGCAAGTTATTGTGTAGTGATGGTTTGTTCAGTAGAAAAATATCTATATAGCTTATAAACAAAATATATATATATTATATATAGTAGCTTATATATCTATAGCTTAAAGGGGCTAATTATTTTGACCTTGAAATGTTTTTATTTTATTAAAAACTGCTTTTATTCTAGCAGAAATAAAACAAATAAGACTTTCTCCAGAAGATTAAATATTATTAGACATACTGTGAAATTTTTCCTGCTCTTTTAAACATAATTTGGAAAATATTTTAAAAATAAAAGGCGGGCTAATAATTCTGACTTTAACTGTATATGTTTGCACATTTCAATATGGATGCTGAAACGATATATTGTGCAGCTGTATTATATCTGTTTCATCTCATTAAGTCTCTTCTGTTGTCACCTTTTTTCTTTTCATCTTGTCTCTTCTAACTTTGTTCATTCTTCTACCTCTCAATTTCTCTTTTCTGCATTTCTTTGTCCCATCTCCTTTTATTTATCTCTTCTAATCTTCCGCTCTTATCTCTTCTCTATTTTCCTCATTTGATCTCTTCTTGTCTCATCTGCATTAATCATTGTATCTTATTGCATATATTTCATTTGCTCTCATGTTGTTTACATTTTATTTCTCACCTCACATTTTCTCGTCTCATTTTGTCTCTTCCTTTATGATTTGAGCTTTTACCTCGTCTCTTCTCCTCACATCTATTGTCATGCTGTCTCTTTTCATCTCATCTTTCTCTTTTCATTTGATTTCATCTCATTTCTTCTCATCATTTCTTTTTTCCTTCCTTTTTATTTATTGGTATTAAGCAATACCATATATAGTAGTAGTACACAGTGCATAATAAAAACTAAAATTACAGACTGTCTCATTATAAACCCACTCTTACTTTCCTATAAAACTATACATCATAATACATACAGTGCAGAACAATTGATTACAGATCACCCCAATGTAAAGCCAATCATACCTTGCTACTAATTTTCTCATCTTTTCTTGACCTATATAATCTAGAATCATCTCTCTCCCACATATTGTCCCAACAGCAGAATAAGCGTCTTAAAGCTGAAATGTCAAATGCTTCTACTAGGTGTAAGTGTGATTATGTATGGGGTTGTCATGGCTACAACAGTCATGTGACTGACGTATATTTTCAAGCTCAGTGTAACAGGCTGGTGTTAAGCTGTGGAGTAATGTGAGCCGGCTGTTTAGTCTCTCACATTAAACAGTAAAATCTTTAAGCGTGTAAATGACCCGAGTACACATTCACCCCCAGGGATCCCAAGCATCCAACGTAACGTAGGAGGTTCGAAACGCCCAAAGAGGGCATACCTGGCCTACCTGAAGACACGCTTTCATCTGTGTAAGTGCGCTAAGAGGTTTTGGTTTGCTGTGACTTGGCGTGAAATCTGTTGCACGTGTTTCCTCTCCTTTCTCACAGGATTTCTTCAGCACAGCTTGTTTAATCGAACTTGATGCTTGATGTTGCAGTGCTTATTACAGTATATTTGATCAAATGTAAATAAAATTCATTGTATAAAGCGGCTGATTTTATATTTGTATGTGTGTGTTTGCATAGGAATGCAAGTCCTGGAGTGGAACAACATTTCCTTGAGTGGTAAGACGTACGAGGAGGTGCAAGGGCTGGTTGGTCACCAGGTTGGAGAGGCCGAATTATGTATCAGACTGTGAGTGTCAGATTTGCTTAATTAATAGTTATGTGCTACTTTTTATTTCTGTTTTCTATCTAGCTCTGAATGAAACATGATATTTAAAGCCCCAATGTACAAATGCGGATTTACAATTTATTTACCAAATATTCAGACTCAATACTTTGAATATGTTTTAACAAATCTAAATATTAAGAAAATTGCTATTTAAGTTGGGCAAATTAAGTGTTTAGCAAAGCATTTTCCTAATGAATAATTAAGATTTGATACATTTAGGGTACAAAGTATCTGACATATCTTAATGGAACATGATCTGTAAACAATATTCTAATGATTTTTGCCTTAAAAGAAACTATTACCAAAAATAAACCTATGCAACTTGAGACTTTTGTGGTCCAGGGTCACATATTGATTTCCTGCTTGCTTTACTAAACTCCTCAATTTCTTTTTATCTCCAGTGACATAAATATGCTGTCTGATTCTGATAGCTCCCATCTAGACCTGCATGACCAGGTTAAAGGTGAGAACCTCGAGTCATTGAAAAAGACAATCAAATGAAATTGTCTTAATTAACCACAGTGACTACTAACACCTGACTTCTAAATATACAGGGGACAGACCTCCACGGTCACCAGGTGTGGACCCCAAGCAGCTGGCTGCCGAGCTGCAGAAAGTGTCCCAGCAGCAGGTGCCGTCCTCCTCTGCGTCAGCACTGGATAAACCCTCAGCGTCTGCAGGCTCCAGTGCAGTTCCCAGTCCTGGCCAGCCTGGTTCACCCTCTGTCAGCAAGAAACGCCACAGCAAGGTATGCATATCCCATGTGCACAATTATTTTGGATACAGAAAGTCAAACAAAAAAACACGTCTTTCCTTACTGCTGATGTTTTTTGTTTCTTAGAACTCTGAGGGTACAAAAACTCAGTCCCACCCAGTTTCAGGAGAAATCCAGGTAGATTTGAGCTCTCATCATCTCAGCTACATCTGTAGCTCATTAAGCAAACCTCCAAGTGGAATTTTAAAACTGTAATTTAGAGACCTGTAAAAGTGGAAATTTCAATATGAAACTATCTACGACTAGAAATTAGCTGCTTATGAATGAACACTCTATGAAATCACTCATATTTAATTTCACACTTAATTCATTGATTAAAAGAGTGTATTTATGTAATAGTCATTTGCCTTTTCAACAGAAGAAAGACATTTTTACTTTCTTCTATGTTGCAGCTTCAAATAAATTATGACAAACAGCTGGGAAATCTCATCGTCCATGTTCTCCAAGCACGGAATCTGGCGCCTCGGGACAATAATGGCTACTCTGATCCATTCGTTAAAGTTTACTTGCTGCCAGGTAGAGGGTAAGTACTTTCTGCAAATCTCAACTTACTGGAATTGAGTCTTAGAGGGATAGTTCACCAAAAAAATGAACATTCTGTCATCATTTATGCACCCTATATTTGTCCCAAACCTGTCTGGTTTTGTTGTAAACAAACTGTGAAAAAAAGATATTTTAAAGAAAGCTGAAAACCTGTAACCATTGACTTTCACTTGATTTACCTACTTACTATATATGTCAATGGTTACAGTTTCTAAGCATTCTTCAAAATATATTCCCTTGTGTTTAACAGAAAAAACTAACAAAGCTTTTTAACCAATTGAGGTTGAGTAAATGACGAGTAAACCTTAATTTTAGATCGAACTATCCCTTTAAAGTTCACCCAAAATGATAATTCTGCCACCATCTACTCACCCTTCACTTGTTCAAAACCTGTTTGAGTTTCTTTCTTCTATAGAAAAATGCTGGTAGCTGGCACCCATTGATTTTTATAGTAATTTCCCCTCATAAGAAAGTTAATGACTTGCCAGCTACTAACATTCTTCAAAATATCTTCCTTTGAGTTCAACAGATAAAAGAAACTCATAAAGGTTGAAAACCACCTGAGGGAGAATAAATTATGCAACATAGGCTAACTCTGAAAACGTAGCTCTATATACATTTCTGGAGACCACGAATTATGTAGCCAGAAGTACGTATGGCCGCATTTAATTTTTTTAAAACGATGCTACGGGGCAGTATAATGCTGTTTCGCGCTTACCAGCTGACCGCTTACCTCTGTTTGGACGGCTTTCCTGCTGTTACCAGTTTGTTCAGTAGCTCGCCATGTATGTCGGCGGACTTGAGACGCAGAGAGAAGTTGACCACAACGTTGGGGTTTGAGTCTGGTGAAGAACAGTTTCAGTAAGACAAAAACAAAAGCCAAAAAATAAAATGAATAAGTAAATCGCAGGGTGAGAATGCGGTAAAATCTGAAAACGTTGTAAAAATCAGGCGATGGCTTTAAGGTCGGTAAGGTTTAGGGAAGTGGGTGGGCGGGTCAATCGGTGCTTTTGAAAACACTATTGGTTGGGTTTAGGGAAGGAGGAGGGTGGGTCAGTCGATTGATCAGTCAGTCAACAGCAGCCTCTGGTGGATTTATGCGAGAACAGCAGGTGTGAATGAGAAATTTGAGCTCTCAAAATGAGTGATGAGTTTGAAAACAAAAATGGCAAAAAAAAAACATAGCTCCTGGGACATATTTAGTGCTCTCCAGAAATGTATTTAGGGGTACATCAGAATGAGCCTGGGTTGAAATTATGAGGCAATTTTCATATTTTGGGTGAACTTTCCCTTTAAGTGAGACCCAGTGTGGGTTGCCAACTGTGTTTGGTCAATATACAGGACATGTTAGATTCTAGTTTTAGAATCAATCAGTATCAGTTTCTACCTTTTTAAAAACTCTACCAGACAGTAAAGCTGTGAGATTACTGAGATGTTAAAATAAGATGTTAGTATCTTGATTCCTGCTGAAAAATAAAACCACCTGTTTCACCCTTGGCAATGTAAATTAAGGCTCCCACAGCAGCTCTCCTAGAGGCTACTTTCCGAGAGTTAACGAAACAGAAAATCACTTATCCAGCTGTACTTAGCATCAAGTCTGTGGGAAAGACCCGAAAAGGATTATGCATACTGTGTGAGCCCTAGTTTTTTAGCTGAATTTTAATTAGGTGTGTGTGCGCGCTTGTCCGCCTGTTTATGTGTGCAGTAAGTGAGTCAGCAAACGAGGAAAATCAATGCCAGCTGAGTTTGTGTGTAAAATGATAGCGCTGGCTGATGTTTGTAGGCTGGTGTGTATGTTTGTGTATGTGTGTCGGACCATTTCTGGCTCTCATCTGATCATGCAGTACTTGGATTGAACCTACAGAAACAGGAGCTCTCCATTTCTCAGCTCCATATGGGCATGAATGCATGAGCTACTGCGAACACACACACATGCATACACACACCTTTGCGGTCTCCCACTCATCACTGATTGTTGTCTGTTTTTGCTGCATGCTGGATCTTCACAGTCAGGTCATGGTTGTGCAGAATGCCAGGTATGTGATTCTTTCCTACAGTACAAGCAGATTATTGAAGACTTGGCCATGCTTGGACATGAACGGCTTAATGATGTTGTGTTTTGCTCTTTATGTCATCATTATGCATTTGATTACATTCTTAATGTAGTATATGGTCATTGCAACAACACAAGTGGGCCTATACTACATGTCCTCCATCATGCAGACCATCTGCCACCAGCGTGGGGTGTTTCTTGTTGAAGTCTGGTGCACACTGATGCTCTATTTTAATTGAATGCTGACCTCTTGGTGTGTTTGTTTTTCTCAACTGCAGTGCTGAAAACAAAAGAAGGTCCAAGCATGTTCAGAAGACCCTGAACCCGGAGTGGAACCAGACTGTCATCTACAAAAACATTCACCTTGAACAGGTAACCAAACACATCTAGGTTGCGCTTCAGATGTCTAGGAAAAATTCTGATGGAAAATGTTTTACTTTGAAGATTTCATACCAGTTTTGAGGTTTCAATTATATGAAAGCTCTTCAGAGAGAATCTCAGGCTTTTGGTGCAAACAGGGAATAGTCTGTTGTCTCCCAGAAGTGCTTTACTCTAATTAAGACCAAAGAGCTTCTTTAGTCGGTTGAGCTCTCTTAGGCAGACACTGACAGATGTGATTGATATGTTTTTACTGGACTATTGAAGCGAGGCCAGTGCCTCTTAATTGAGAGAGAAAGACAGAATGCTGGTAAGTGAGGCTTGTGTTGAAAACCATCTGGATTTAATGCTCTAGTACTACATATCATGTTGAAGATGTTTACCAATTTAACAGATAAGACTTTTTTGTCTTTGTTTCCAGCAAGGAAAAATATAGAGTTGAAATCAGAGTTATTAGCCCCCTCTAATTATTAGCCCTCAATTTCTGTTTAACGGAGAGAAGATTTGTTCAACACATTTCTAAATATAATAGTTTTAATAACTCATTTCTCATAACTGATTTATTTTATCTTTGCCATGATGACAGTACATAATATTTTACTAGAAAATTTTAAAGACACTTTTATACAGTTTAAATTGACATTTAAAAACTTAACTAGGTTAATTAGGTTATCTAGGTGTAACCCTGCCAGTCCTTTACCACCCAACTCTGAGCTGGGGTTAAACCGGCAACCTTCCGCAGGGGAGTCAGTTGCTCTTACAAGGAGGCTAAAGACCATTGCCTCTAGCATCTGTCACTAGAGCACCTTCTTAGAGTTCAGAGGAGTGAGGTTTTACATGCACAGCACTTCACTAGCTGGCCTTCGCTACATAGGCAGGTTAGGGTAATTAGCCAATTTATTGTATAACAATGGTTTGTTCTTTGACTATAGAAAAAAATATATAACTTAAAGGGGCTAATAGTTTTGACCTTAAAATGTTTTTTTATTATTATTATTATTAAAAACTGCTTTTATTCTAGCCAAAAATATATATAAATATATATACTTTCTCCAGAAGAACAAATATTATCAGACATACTGTGAAAATTTCCTTGTGTATTTAACTCAGAAGCAAAGTTTAGAGGGAATGAGCAAAGAAATATATATATATATATAGAAGCAAAGGGAATGATTTATTTTTTCTGAAGTAAATGTCATTTAAACATTTTTACATGATTCTTTAGAAATCACTCCAAAATGTTGTGCTTGTGTGCTTTGCGTTATAACTGTTGAAAACCATTGTGCTGCTCAGAATTATTGCAGAAAGCAAAATCAATTTTCACTTGTTATCTTTTTGAGGTAGAACTATCGATTGTAACTTTAAAAAAAATTAATACCGTATGTACTTACTGAATTCTGAATGAATTATAAATCCTAATCACCCAACTGGTCAGGTTGTAGGGTGTATTCAGGCAATGTATGGTGATAAAATCACAAACTAAGTAATTGGCATTGAATGCTCTGTGTTTGTGTGGTGCATGTTTAGTTGAGAAAGAAGACACTGGAGGTCAGCGTGTGGGACTACGACAAGAGCTCTGCCAATGACTTCTTGGGAGAGGTGAGAAGCTTTAAGCACACTTTGGAATATTAAACACCGGGTCCATTCTGTATAAAAGTTCAAGGCTGCAAATCCAAGAGATGGACTCTCATCTTACAGTCACTGAATAATCATGAAATTGTACATGTATGGTGATTTATAGGTTTTAATTGACCTGTCCAACACGGCCCAATTGGACAACGTCCCACGCTGGCTTCCTCTAAAGGAGCAGAGTGAAGGCGAGCATCACCGGCGCTCTCACTCGGGACAGGGACGTCAGCATTCACCCAAACCCCCTGGAGGACACGGGAGCCAGCACTCCCCAAAGACCTCTGGACACAGCAAGGAGGACTCGCCCAAATCCTCAGTCATTAAGAGCCGTAGTCACGGAATCTTCCCTGACCCTGCTAAGGGTATGAGTGCACGTCGCATGCCACTTCTCCTTTCACATTTCCAGACGTGATGTCTTCCTGTCCTCCATCCTACTACTGCTGTCATTTCTCTGCATTCTGTCTTCTTTTCTTCTATCTGTATTGTTCTTGCTTTCACTTGATCTCTCCATCCTATATTTCTCAAGCTTCCTAGCTTTGGCTTTTCGCTCTCCATATATGTGTGTTGAGTTCACTACGGCGCTGAGCTCACCAGCGCTTCACTCCAGTCACCTCACGCAAGGTGTGACAGGGCCGCTCAGACAGCAAGCAGCCTGCTTAGATGCTAACTAGGGCACAATAGTGGAACACACCACTTATGTCAGATGGAGACTCAATAGTTTTAAAATAACATAACCAGATCATCTGTGTAGTTTATGTATATTTTAATTAAGAAGTTTTTGAAGAATTTAAATGAATAAATAGGCTAAAAAACAGCTCTTGTGGTAATTTGGTTCTGGTTGTTTTAGACACGCAGGTGCCCACTATTGAGAAATCTCACAGTAGCCCCAGCTCTTCAAAGCCATCCCTCTCCGAGGGTCAAGCCCGTCCCCATGGAGGCCCCCGTGCTCATGGCAAAAGTGGCACGACCCGGGCACACCTTGATGATGCTGCAGCAATGGCTGAAGCTGCCGGCCAACAGCCCCGTCTCCAACCAAGTAAACGACGCAAATAAACCCTCCACAGCATGGCTGCCTTCGCACTCATCTGTTCCTCCTTCTGTTCTTTTTCACTGCCTTCGTTTGGTTTTTTTTTCTTTCCCCGTCATTGTTTTCTGGTTTCTCCAGTTTTTCTTCCTCTGATCCCCTTGTGGTCACAGTCTGTCACTTCACTTCCTCCCGGCCTGTGTGTTCTCACTAGTATGTTGAGAACATGTCACATACACTTGTACAGAAACATATACTCTTTTTTATGACATTTTTTAACACATACATTTAAGGGAGCATGTTATATTTAGTGTTTTTATCATGGAACTGGTCAAGAGATCATTTATAAATGTATATCAGTGTATCATATTTTAAAGTTACAGAGCTAATCTATGAAGTTTTCTATTTGAACTTAATAATTTGTCCTTAAGCTTCCTTACATCCTTGAAACCCTGAACAGTTCCTGTTGCATATGGGTTTAATTTTCAAGGAACACCCAATATGCCAATGCAAAAAATAATGGTACAAATAATGATTCAGAATAGATTTAAAAAAATAGACTCCAGCTTAAATATTGTGCAGAAACAAAAACTATTTCTGACCTAGTCTGGCACTTTGCTGCCCATCAATCAGTATGCTAAGTTGGATTACTAAGACCTGTCAATCACTGTGAGGAGATCTGACTGCACATGTCACGCACTTAGTCATGCAGACCTGTCATTTTACCCCAAAGGGACATGTTGGAACCTTACTACTAAGGTTTTTTTAGGTAAAACCTGCTCATCTTGCCATGTTATTAAAGTTAGAGAGTTTAAGACCTGCACCAAACACAAAATCAACACCTTTTGCCCACCTGAGCCCTTCACAGCAGCCCTGACAACCTTTTTATTTAACTCTTTATTTATTTGTCCCATTGAGTTGTTTTCTGTCCCAGACGGCCAGCTTTTCAGCAGCTACCCCAGTCCACGAGATGGCCATGCATGTGGCCGCCACTCCTTAAAGCACCATCCCACCCTGCCTTCACTCTCTCTGCGGCTCTCGCTGGCCTACACTGCACCTCAGTCAACGCTTTGAGCCCGAGCCGGGCCGTGCGGACTGTGGCTGCATGTGACTACACAGTAAAAGCTGGTGGTGTCCATGTTGTGACAAGTTCATACTCTGAGTCTCCATCTCGCCCCCCTTCTCCCCTCTCCAAACCTCCCCTCCTTCTCACCTTCCACCCCGTGGCTGATATATGGCCCCAGCCCAAAATGGCGGCCTCGACCCGAGGCACCACAGGCACAGCGTAGTTGGTGTGCTCACCATTCAGAGAGCCCCGTCTGAGTCGCCGGCCCATGAGGTCCCTGACGGCCGTCACCTGACCCTCAGGAAAGCCCTGTCTGAAGAGAGGCCGCAGCCGGACGGAGGTGAGAGATGAACGTCTCGTATGATTGCCGATGACAGCAAGAGAGAAAGAGCGAGAGGATGTTGAGTTACTAACGCACATCTAACTAGTGGAACTAGCTGAAGACACTTTGCATAATGTGTATTTGTGCCTAAAAAGGGCACTATGGGAAGGGGACGACTTACAATGAGTTATTCCAAATGAAAGTGAGCAAAACTATTACAGAAATTAGGATTAAGTGAGGGCTGATTTATACTTCTGCGTCAAGTGCACTCGTATGGTCCGGCGCAGCCTTTTGTACTGTCGCATAGCCCTCGCTGTGGCTGATGCTGATGCACACCTGTCCAAAATAGTAACTACACATTGCAAAGCGTAGCGCAAGCTCTGTCATTGGTTGGCTTGGTACCGCTGACAAGCATGGGCGGTGTTGAGAGCCGCAAGCCTGATAGAGCGAATGTTTACAAGTGTCAAGTCCCTCGAAGGAGTTCCAGATGGAAACTTTTGTTTTGTGTTTATTTTATGATTAAAGTTGTTGCCAGTCCGCCAGTTTTAGCTACTTTTAGCATTCAGAAAAAAACAAAACACCTGCAAAGAAACTCAACAGAGGAAGATAAAAACCTACTTCCAGCTTGCATTTCGGGAGGGTTATTGCAGAGAAACACAAACAGCACGCAGAAGTATAAATGCTACACGCAAGGCAGGTGCCGTGGGTCATACCGATCACTCGACGCAGAAGTATAAATCAGTCTTAAATCTGTAGTTAGTAATCACATGAACTTAGGTGGTGCATCTTTACAATTTTCTTTTTAAAACCTGAAAAAAAATGAATTCTGAAACCCTCGGTTGATTGAAATTGCAGAACATTGCAGGTTTAAATATTAAGTTACTGTTCATGTTTACGTACATTCAAGTTTAACAAGTAATAGGTAGCAATATAGTTGCATTACAGATGCAAATAGACAATATTTAAGATTTTTATAAGCAATCTTATCAGAAATATGCATGAAATTTGTCAAGTAAATGGCCTGTTCACACCAAGACGAATGTTTAGCATTTTCATTTGAATAAACAGAGGGTATACTGTACATCTACGTGGATAAAAAAAAAACTAATTTTCTATTGCAGTGCAGAGAAAACTGTCCAAACATGGCATTTACCTGAAAATGGTGCATTAAAAACAGAATGTTTTTCATTAGGTTTTTGGAAAAGTTTTGATTTGTATAGAAGGATCAAGAAAAATAACTAAAACCGCTGTAATATCTATTATCTATGCCAACCAGTGCATGGCAACATCACATTGTAAAGAAACATTATGTCTAAACACAATTAGTCCTGTAGTCCACTATTCATGTTGTGGTTGTCAAGATCCAGCACATGAGTTGGTGGCCATTTTTTAACCAGATTCGTCTGATGCTAATTCAAAACACTTGGATTGGCAGGTTAAAAACAGGTCAAGTAACCTTAAAACCTTATTCATATTTTCCAAGTGGGTAGGGTCTAGTGATTCTCACTTTCAGCAGGAATCCACTCTCTGCCACTTCACAGGAAATTCATGCAGCGAGTCTCAGTCTGATACAACAGTCCAGCAACGTGCTTCCCTAAAACCAGGGGACTAAACTGTAGTAAAACTGAAATATTGACCCCCTAACCATCCCAAGAGATGCCTGGTGTTAGTGTCACCGTTGCTGAATCTGATTGAAAAAGACTGTGTGCATGAATTACGTGTTGAAATCACGCATCCCACGTCACACCATCACCATCACTCTCGTTCAAACACTTCCAAATACATCAACATATAAAACACAATCTTAAGTAACAACCATTTAAATAAACTAATATAGCGCCAACGGAATTAGCACAATTGTTCTTACTCGCTTAATGTTCTAAACTAAAACACACAGATTACTAATGAACAGTTTAATTTGTTCTGTCTGTGCTTTTGCTTCTGTCATCTGATGTCTGCTTAGCATATCTCTGTCTGTGATGTTTCCTTTCATTTATTGAGTGCCGTCATGCTTTTTTAAATGTTGCCAGTAGTGCCAGTATCTATCGGTGTGTTTGTGAGTGTGTGTTTGGAGTGAATATGTGGACATCTACCCTTTATTTGCTAGTTGCAAACCAGTAGTAGTGTATGAGATTAATGCGACTCACATAGTCCACTTCAAAAACAGCGTCCCGCAGCCATAGATCTGGTGATGCTCCTGTTACTGCAGCCTCATTGGATAGTGGTCTGAGTGGCAGTGCCTTTAGCCTATTGGATGAAGAGGGCGGGACAAATGCGGTGGATAGTGCAATTTTCCAGGTTCCCAGATTGTGAGTGCTTTTTCGTATGACTCTGTATAATAATTGCTAATCAATTATGGTGTTTTTATAATAATAACTTTTTAAATTTTATCTAAAACGCCTTTTAATGCCTTTTTATTATCTGCATTTTCTTGGCACTCTGACCTGATGCTATTTATCATTCAGTGGAAAGATTCCAAACGGCACAGAAGCTGTGAAATCCGCTCATGGAGATGCAGAGGGTAATGTTTGCATGGGACGGTGTGTGCTTATTTGTGCTCGTCTGTGTCAATAGCAGTGTATTTGAATGTATAATTTTGCATCAGAGTAGCTAAAATGCTCAAATTATCATATAGTGTTTTTATCATTTAATAAATTAAGTTGCATTCTATTCAATTACATTAAATTACACTTTTATTCTAAGAATTGGAGTGTGTAATTCCTTTTTTGCATTTATTTGGTTAAAATACAATGATGTTTTGATTTTAATTACAAAACAACTGTTTTTTTAAAAAGTTTATTCAGTGGCCATTAGTACAGGCCTCTTTGTCAGTATTCTGATATATTTATTTCTTGATAATGCATTTTTAGGATTCCTTTGTGTTTAGCAAATCTTAAAATAAGCAGCATTTATTTTAAAGGGCACCTATGTTGAAAATCATCTTTTGGAAGCTGTTTGAGCAGAACTGTGTGTTGGTAAAGTGTGTCCACAGTCATATTGGGGTGATATAAAGACAATAAGTCTCTTTTAATTTCCTGACATTAAAATAGGATCCAAATCCCACCCATTTTGAGGTCCACTGCAACGTGATGTAGGACAACCATGTATTAACATGTCTCTGTTGTAACACGTATAATTATTTCAACAAGACAGGACATGTGCAAATCAACTGGAATTAAAAGATCTGTTCGCCTCTCTGTGATCATCAGTCATCATCAAATGTGATCAAGAAGGAGTTTTACAAGTTTAAAACGTTTTTAAAAAAGACGGTAAAATCATTGTAATTCTTCACCACAGCCGCATGTCAGTACAATTATAAAAGAAGATGCTTCAATCACAGTTTGTGGACATCAGGTTTATTTTACTGCATTAACATAAGGGATATCCTTACAGCAGTAGATAATAATGTGTATCCTGTCACATTTGCCATGCAAAACAGTGCAAAGTTAAACGCGTGCGCTGTATGTGTGTGTGATTTTTGTAATGACATTGTGTGTGAATTAACTCCATAACAAATACATCAACTAATCAGTGAGAAAATTCTTACTGTAGTATTTCTCACAAAAAAAAAAAAAAACATTATATGACATCTGCTTCCTTCATGTCTGTCACTGTGCTGTTTAACTGATGCATTCGGAGATTGAGGCACAATCTGACAGCCACGTGGGAACGGTGGGTGGGGAGAACCTGCTCATTTGCATTAAAGGCAAAGGCAACAAAACAGCTACAATGTGTAGAGCAGAAAATTCCAGTATGCTCAAAGGTGTAGTAAATAATCTGATGTGTGTTTTGAGCTAAAACTTCACTGACTCCTTTTGGAGAGAGAATTTTAAAAAAGGGGTAAAATAGGTGCCCTTTAAATTATTTTTTTAACAATGCAACACTCATTAATTTCATTTATGATCAGTTTAACAGATCATTCAATGTATATACTTTTATAAATTACTAATTGAAGAGTGAATTTAAATAGTTCCTCCCATATTAAACTATTTCCTCTGGCTATAAATGTGCTAAATTCTTTCACACTGTCTGAATGCTCCTCTTGTGGATCAAAGATTTACAAAATAGGGGAGGAAAAGATAAAGAGATATGAGGAGGAACTGAGATACTGACCTGTTCATGTGTGTGTGTGTGTGTCTTTTTAGGTAAGACTCAGGTGATGGGGGAGATAAAGATCGCCCTGAAGAAAGAGATGAAGACAGAGGGAGAACACCTGGTGCTTGAGATCCTACAGTGCAGAAACATCACATATAAATTCAAGTCTCCCGACCACCTCCCAGGTAACTAAACATGCGACTGCGAACATGTTTATACACACTATATTTACTAAAGGTGAAGTCACACCCACATATTTCACAATTGCCACAGACCGATGGCAGAAAGTTTTTTCTAGAAAGTTGGATTGGACAAGCTCTTTAAAACTCTCGAATTGAACAACACACAAATTTTGTGCACATTCATTTTTCATTTACAGACCTATATGTGAAGCTTTATGTGGTGAATGTGGCCACTCAGAAAAGAATCATCAAGAAGAAGACCAGAGTGTGTCGTCATGATCGCGAACCATCTTTTAACGAAACCTTCCGCTTCTGCATGAACCCCACCGGTCATTCCATTCAGGTATGCCAGACATTGGTCAAAAATCGAAACAGATCAAAGTCCGAAAATAATTTATGAACCCTTTTTTTTATACCTACTGTATTGTTTATAATTCAAAATCACTTGGATTTTTGTTTTTAAAGGGCACTTATGACAAAAATCTACTTTTGTAAGCTGTTTGGACAGAACTGTGTGTAGGTATAGTGTCTCCACAGTCATATTGAGTGATAGAAACAATAAGTCAATTTGTTTTTAGTTACCTGGCATCAAAATAGGATCCAAATCCCTCTCATTTTAAGGCCCACCGCAACGTGACATAGGGGTGTGGTATTCCCCACGTTTTAACACATTTCCAAAGTAACACATACAGTATAATCATATCCACAAGACAAGACGTGCGCAAAGAAACTGGGATCTGTTCAGCTTGTTAGAAATAAATACAGTAAAATCACTGTAATTCATCACCACAGCCGCATAATTATAAACAAGATGCTTTGTGGACATTAAGTCTGTTTTTTTTCTTTTTTTTTTTGTACATAAGTAGATCCAAAAACCGTTGGGTAAGTTCTAACTGTTGTAAGTGAGATCTGCTTCATTCTTGTCTGTCACTGTGCTGTTTATCTATGTGAAGGCTACAGAGATCTGTGACACACATGTGGGAAGGTGGGTGGGGAGAACCAGCTCATTTGCATTAAAGGCACAGGCAACAAAAACAGCTACAACAGCTCAAATTTCTCAGATTTAAAAAGTTATAATAAATGATCTGATGGGTATTTTGAGCTGAAACTTTACAGACACATTCTGGAAAAACAAAAGACTTGCATTAAATCTTGAAAAGGGGTAAAATGGGTGCCCTTTAAATGCAGAAATTACAAAAAAGATATTATAGAATAAAGAAAGATTACAAGTAAAATGTTCTCTTCAAAGTTAAGACTGACTGGGTTCTCCAATTTTGATGTTCTTTTTCAAATATCTAACTTGTAAGGTGGCAGAGAGTGCTCAAACCTGCTGCAAGTTAATAAAACACATGCAAATAGAAAACTGAAAGATCTTCATCCGTTTGACAACACATGCGCATGCAAAGTCTTACAAAATACAAAAACACTGAAATGTGCTGCAAATATTACAGACCACTCGGATTTTGCGTTTGGTAACCCTAAAAAGTGAGAGAAATGGCTGCTTCAGTCAGCGGTGCTTTCAAAGATCTGGGAGGTGTGCTGTTTTTGTTTATTTTAATGTCCTTGTCATGTGTATTTTAGCCCAAATAATCTGACAAATTGCACAAATAGTTTTAAATTAAATGTTATTTTAATGGCATTTAAGCAGGAGTTAACTTCAGAACAACAAGCTTGTCGCAAGTAACTCTACAATCAGGACATTTTTTTAACAAACTCACTCATATCTTTGACAACACAGCTTTATTTGCAGTGCGTTTCTATATTTTATTTATGTTTTGTGAGAATTTCGTGTGTGTGTGTTGTCAAAAGGATGAAGCTGTTTGTTAGTGTTTTTCTTAACTTTCAGTGCATTTGAGCTCTCTTTGCCACCATACATTTAAGTATCTCTCTCATATCATGAAACGTATGAAAACAAAATTCATGATGACTTCAAATAGGACTAAGCTGTTTCACCAAAATATAGAAATTGTGAAGTTCACAAGCGTAAAATTAGCCTAGACTTGAAATAGTGATTCTGATTTCTTCCAATCCTCGCAGCTCTTTCTTGTTTCAAACGGAGGCAAGTTTGTAAAGAAGACCCTAATCGGCGAAGCGTATGTGTGGCTGGATAAAGTAGACCTGCGTAAACGGGTGGTGAGCTGGCACAAGCTGCTGGCCAGCACAGCTCAGATCCACTCCTAAAGAAGGCGGTCGATTAAGGCGCGTGGACAGACCCGGCACATCTCTGCCGCACTCTTTGGGACTAAACTGAGCTGAATTTGGAGGGCCGACGCGGGGAGATTCCCGATTGCACTGGCACATGTGATTGTGTTAACCCAAGCCATGGAGAAACAGGTGTACAATGGTGTTTACAGGAAAGATCTGATCCTGAAAGATGCAGATCTGAAAAAAAAAAGTGAGCTGGAGATTCACGTAAGATTCATACACATGTGTACATGCACTTTCACAATCACTTACTGGTGTATCTATAAAATAATATGTGTACATTGGGCCACGACAGACAGTTAGACGATAGAGCGAACGTTTATTTGTTGCCAGTAATTTGTGCATTATTCATAAAGGATTATTTAACAGACAGATATCATATATATATTATTTTTGTATGATAGAGACGATTCCGCTTTAGATATTTATCCTTCTTTTACATTCCCTCAGATGTTATTGTGTTGAACGAATATTTAAGCACATTATCAATGGATTAGAAGAGTATTTTATGGTATATTATAGACAGATTTAAACGAATGAAATTTGATTTATTGGGTGTTGTGATGACTCTTTGTGTCAGTACGGTTATTTCCACTCACACAAGTAACACACGATACGGAATTCATCAGCGGATTCAGAGAGAATCAGGATGAATGCAAGAACCCAGCAAGCATTTTTTTGTTTAATAGATGTCAAATAGACGTCTAAACATAGTCGCCTTGGCTAAAACAAGACTACATTTGGGCTGTCAGTGAATAGACGTCTAAGAATACTAGACTAGTCATCAAATAAACAGAAATGAATGACTACACATATAAAGTCTGTCAAATCTGTCTATTTGTTTTGGGCTATTCTTAGACATCTATTAGATTTTCACTGACAGCCCAAGTTTAGTCTTGTTTTAGCCAAGCTGTCTACGTCTATTAGACGTCTATTAAACACAAAATTGTTTGCTGGCTAATTTAAACGTTTAAGAAAACTGCCAGACTTGCACAGAAAGCGAATGGGGAGTCTTGTTCGATGAATGTGACAGATGAAATATCTCAAGTATGCAGCAGCATCAGTTGAAAATGTCAAATCCAGCACTGTTATATGATTTGCACTTTGAGTCTAGCATTTTATGAATGTAGTTTGCTAGCTTTTTTTCTTTTTTTAAGTAGGTTCTATCAAAAAATAAAGAGAAAATCAAGAAATATCCTGCCATTTAAATCAGTCAAGCACTGTTAAAACCTCCACAGATGGATTAGAGCTCGAATGGAGCTCGAATGGGTCAATGTCATGTCTTGTCCGGACGTTTTCATATCACAATGTTAATATTAGCCTATGTTTTATGACAAACAAACTCCTAAACACTCAGGTTTCGATGTAAAAGCCTTGCTTAAACGTTATTAGCCGATCTCTGCTCTAAGCAGCTTAAAAGGCGACAATGAGGATCAGGGTGAAGACATCGCGTCGTTTTGAGTTTACACACATTTTGACACACGCTCATCTCATAATTTCAGAAAAGTGTGGCCACCTCAGACACTGAAATGCCATTAGTGTTATCTATATGTTTTTTATTATGCCTTTAAACAGGATGTGTGGATATAACCTTGCAAAACGTAACCCAGCCATTTTACCAAGTCAAGCACTTACGGTACACAAATGTCCAGCGTTAAGGGTGAAATCGGCCTTTAACCTGTGCCAAACTACCAAAACCCGCAGGTTCTGTGTATGTTATTCTATGCAACCCAAAAGGCATCTGTTGTACTTATCATTTAATGGCCGTAATGCATTATAATGACTTTTATTTTGTCATTTTAATGTATTTTCCCAACTGACATTTATTTATATATATTTTTAATTTTGCTTGGTGCTTGTTTATTAATTTGATTGCATTTTTGACAGTTCCTTGCAGTCCGCTGTTAAACTGTAAATGTGCATAACTACAGTAAATGTGTGTTTATAGCAGATTCATGAATTCAGTCACAGTGTCTGGAAAAAACACTATCTCACTGCACTCAGCTTTATATACAATGCTCGGTTCTCACTTTATTATATTCTGATCTCTCAGAATGTGCGTTACTATTTTTTATGTTTACAAATGAAGAGGAGAAAGAGCATTCGTTGTAACCAACGCGACCTCCTTCGAATAGCCCGTGCATGCATCTTTTTCACTTAATTGCCACACTGACTCTCTCACCTCTGCAAAATACATAAAAAATGAATAAAAAAGCAGCCATGTAAATAAAAGAATACTTTTCTTTTTGTACAAATAGGTTCTTGTATTGGTTTTCTGGTTCAGAGAAGAGCATGTTTGAGGGAAAGGAGAAGAGCGACTGTGTTTTTGATCTGTGTGTTACATGTTGTACATGCACTAGGGTAAAAGCTTTCCCCATGCTTGCCTCTGACAGACTGGACTGGACTTGACTTGCACAACAGACACAGATTTAACCCTGTATAATAATAACAATAATAGTAATAAAGAGCAGATGCTGACCTACTGACTCAGAGTAGAATCAGGAAAAAGTGTGGTGTTTTCACTTTGGATGTTGCATGTTTTGTTGTTCATACTATTTTTGTGTCCAGATTCTATTTACAAAAAGAGAGGGGGAAAAAAAAGATGATGAAAAATTAATCAAACCTAAATATGTATGCTGACTGTACAAAGATATGCTTGTATAATCCGTCTGGTTTTCCACTTAATGTAAACTGATGAAAAAAAAATATTCCAACTGTCATGGTTTTTGTGGTTGTACACAAACGGTATTGATAAATTATGCAAATTGTGCTGTAATAAAAGGCTAATGCCCCAAGTCTAAATATTAAATGATATATGTAAAATTCTCCCTGATCTCAGTCAATGAGTCTTTTACTTTCTATCTATCTATCTATCTATCTATCTATCTATCTATCTATCTATCTATCTATCTATCTATCTATCTATCTATCTATCTATCTATCTATCTATCTATCTATCTATCTGTCTGTCTGTCTGTCTGTCTGTCTGTCTATCTATCTATCTATCTATCTATCACACACACATGACCTTTGACCTATAACCTAAACAACAAATAAATGTATGTACATATTATTCATTTTTTATTTCCCACTTATAAGAAATAAATTGATGCCATCTACCTGTAGATACGTAGATGAAGAGGCGCCCTCTAGTGTACCTAGGGTGATAATGGTCTGTGTTCGAACTGGCTAAAATGTGCAATGACGTTAGCCGTTTCAAACACTACAGGGGGCGCTAAACTGCGGTTTTCTCTGTGTTATTATCTATGATGTTTAACAGAGTAAATGAATGTTCACAGTATGTCTGATAATATTTTTTTTCTTCTGGATAAAGTCTTATTTGTTTTATTTTGGCAGTAATAAAAGCAGTTTTAAATAAATACATATATATTTTAAATAATTTTAAGGTCACTAATTATCTCCTATAAGCAGTATATTTTCATTGATATAAAGAACAAACCATCGTTATACAATAACTTACCAAATTAACAAAATAACAAATTACCCTAACCTGCCTAGTTAACCTAATTAACCTGGTGAAGAATTTGCATGTCACTTTAAGCTGTATAAAAGTTTCTTGAAGCATATCTAGTCTAATATTATTTACTGTCATCATGGCAAAGAGAAAATAAATCAGTGTCTGTCTGTCTATCTGTATATCCATCCATCTATCTATCTATCTATCTATCTATCTATCTATCTATCTATCTATCTATCTATCTATCTATCTATCTATCTATCTATCTATCATCTATCTATCTATCTATCTATCTATCTATCTATCTATCTATCTATCTATCTATCTATCTATCTATCTATCTATCTAAATTGTCAGTCTTCTTTATTGAATCATGTCTGTGCAGTTATTCCTGAAAATGTACATGAGTTAGTGTTAGGTTAAGGGTTTGGTTGGGGTTAGGGTTAGGGGTTGGTTGGGGCTAGGTTGGGTCAGGGTTTGAAAGGGAATCAGTTTCTTATTTATTAATTAATGATTGTTTATTTTATGTAAACATGTATTTTTAATAGATTATTTTGCAGTATTTACTTTTATTTACTGAAAAAACATTTTAAATTGTTTTCATTTTGTTTGTTTTAATCAAGCAAGTTTTTTTGATAAATTGCTGCTTACTATTTTTAATTAATGTATAGTAATGTATTTCTATTAATTACTCAATGAAATCGTATTAAATGACTTTATATATGACAGTAATTCTACTTAAATTATTTTTCAAAATCTATCTATCTATCTATCTATCTATCTATCTATCTATCTATCTATCTATCTATCTATCTATCTATCTATCTATCTATCTATCTTTCTATCTATCTATCACACACACATGACCTTTGACCTATAACCTAAACAACAAATAAATGTCAATCATGTCGTTACACATATTATTCATTTTTTATTTCCCACCTATAAGAAATAAATTGATGCCATCTACCTGTAGATACGTAGATGAAGAGGCGCCCTCTAGTGTACCTAGGGTGATAATGGTCTGTGTTCGAACTGGCTAAAATTTGCAATGACGTTAGCCGTTTCAAACACTACAGGGGGCGCTAAACTGCGGTTTTCTCTGTGTTATTATCTATGATGTTTAACAGAGTAAATGAATGTTCACAGTATGTCTGATAATATTTTTTTTCTTCTGGATAAAGTCTTATTTGTTTTATTTTGGCAGTAATAAAAGCAGTTTTAAATAAATACATATATATTTTAAATAATTTTAAGGTCACTAATTATCTCCTATAAGCAGTATATTTTTCATTGATATACAGAACAAACCATCGTTATACAATAACTTACCAAATTAACAAAATAACAAATTACCCTAACCTGCCTAGTTAACCTAATTAACCTGGTGAAGAATTTGCATGTCACTTTAAGCTGTATAAAAGTTTCTTGAAGCATATCTAGTCTAATATTATTTACTGTCATCATGGCAAAGAGAAAATAAATCAGTGGTCTGTCTGTCTATCTGTATATCCATCCATCTATCATCCATCTATCTATCTATCTATCTATCTATCTATCTATCTATCTATCTATCTATCTATCTATCTATCTATCTATCTATCTATATATCTATCTATATATCTATCTATCTATCTATCATCTATCTATCTATCTATCTATCTATCTATCTAAATTGTCAGTCTTCTTTATTGAATCATGTCTGTGCAGTTATTCCTGAAAATGTACATGAGTTAGTGTTAGGTTAAGGGTTTGGTTGGGGTTAGGGTTAGGGGTTGGTTGGGGCTAGGTTGGGTCAGGGTTTGAAAGGGAATCAGTTTCTTATTTATTAATTAATGATTGTTTATTTTATGTAAACATGTATTTTTAATAGATTATTTTGCAGTATTTACTTTTATTTACTGAAAAACATTTTAAATTGTTTTCATTTTGTTTGTTTTAATCAAGCAAGTTTTTTTGATAAATTGCTGCTTACTATTTTTAATTAATGTATAGTAATGTATTTCTATTAATTACTCAATGAAATCGTATTAAATGACTTTATATATGACAGTAATTCTACTTAAATTATTTTTCAAAATCTATCTATCTATCTATCTATCTATCTATCTATCTATCTATCTATCTATCTATCTATCTATCTATCTATCTATCTATCTATCTATCTATCTATCTATCTATCTATCTATCTATCACACACACATGACCTTTGACCTATAACCTAAACAACAAATAAATGTATGTACATATTATTCATTTTTTATTTCCCACTTATAAGAAATAAATTGATGCCATCTACCTGTAGATACGTAGATGAAGAGGCGCCCTCTAGTGTACCTAGGGTGATAATGGTCTGTGTTCGAACTGGCTAAAATGTGCAATGACGTTAGCCGTTTCAAACACTACAGGGGGCGCTAAACTGCGGTTTTCTCTGTGTTATTATCTATGATGTTTAACAGAGTAAATGAATGTTCACAGTATGTCTGATAATATTTTTTTTCTTCTGGATAAAGTCTTATTTGTTTTATTTTGGCAGTAATAAAAGCAGTTTTAAATAAATACATATATATTTTAAATAATTTTAAGGTCACTAATTATCTCCTATAAGCAGTATATTTTCATTGATATAAAGAACAAACCATCGTTATACAATAACTTACCAAATTAACAAAATAACAAATTACCCTAACCTGCCTAGTTAACCTAATTAACCTGGTGAAGAATTTGCATGTCACTTTAAGCTGTATAAAAGTTTCTTGAAGCATATCTAGTCTAATATTATTTACTGTCATCATGGCAAAGAGAAAATAAATCAGTGTCTGTCTGTCTATCTGTATATCCATCCATCTATCTATCTATCTATCTATCTATCTATCTATCTATCTATCTATCTATCTATCTATCTATCTATCTATCTATCTATCTATCTATCTATCTATCTATCTATCTATCTATCTATCTATCTAAATTGTCAGTCTTCTTTATTGAATCATGTCTGTGCAGTTATTCCTGAAAATGTACATGAGTTAGTGTTAGGTTAAGGGTTTGGTTGGGGTTAGGGTTAGGGGTTGGTTGGGGCTAGGTTGGGTCAGGGTTTGAAAGGGAATCAGTTTCTTATTTATTAATTAATGATTGTTTATTTTATGTAAACATGTATTTTTAATAGATTATTTTGCAGTATTTACTTTTATTTACTGAAAAACATTTTAAATTGTTTTCATTTTGTTTGTTTTAATCAAGCAAGTTTTTTTGATAAATTGCTGCTTACTATTTTTAATTAATGTATAGTAATGTATTTCTATTAATTACTCAATGAAATCGTATTAAATGACTTTATATATGACAGTAATTCTACTTAAATTATTTTTCAAAATCTATCTATCTATCTATCTATCTATCTATCTATCTATCTATCTATCTATCTATCTATCTATCTATCTATCTATCTATCTATCTTTCTATCTATATATCACACACACATGACCTTTGACCTATAACCTAAACAACAAATAAATGTCAATCATGTCGTTACACATATTATTCATTTTTTATTTCCCACCTATAAGAAATAAATTGATGCCATCTACCTGTAGATACGTAGATGAAGAGGCGCCCTCTAATGTACCTAGGGTGATAATGGTCTGTGTTCGAACTGGCTAAAATGTGCAATGACGTTAGCCGTTTCAAACACTACAGGGGGCGCTAAACTGCGGTTTTCTCTGTGTTATTATCTATGATGTTTAACAGAGTAAATGAATGTTCACAGTATGTCTGATAATATTTTTTTTCTTCTGGATAAAGTCTTATTTGTTTTATTTTGGCAGTAATAAAAGCAGTTTTAAATAAATACATATATATTTTAAATAATTTTAAGGTCACTAATTATCTCCTATAAGCAGTATATTTTTCATTGATATACAGAACAAACCATCGTTATACAATAACTTACCAAATTAACAAAATAACAAATTACCCTAACCTGCCTAGTTAACCTAATTAACCTGGTGAAGAATTTGCATGTCACTTTAAGCTGTATAAAAGTTTCTTGAAGCATATCTAGTCTAATATTATTTACTGTCATCATGGCAAAGAGAAAATAAATCAGTGTCTGTCTGTCTATCTGTATATCCATCCATCTATCTATCCATCTATCTATCTATCTATCTATCTATCTATCTATCTATCTATCTATCTATCTATCTATCTATCTATCTATCTATCTATATATCTATCTATCTATCTATCTATCTATCTATCTATCTATCTATCTATCATCTATCTATCTATCTATCTATCTATCTATCTATCTATCTATCTATCTATCTATCTATCTATCTATCTATCTATC